AAAAAAAACGCGTTTATCTGTTTCTTTTTTTTTGTGTGTGGGGGGGTGGGGCAGGGGATGCGCCGCCACGTGGCGCCGCCAGATTTGTGAAACCCCCTCCCCTGCGGCCGCCACGTGTCCGCGAATCCGCGCGGACACGTCCGCAGGCTTCGCGGACTGGCCGCGACCGCGGACTTGGTCGCGCCTGTCCGCCGCCGGGGGGGATACATAGTCTGTACCTTCTCGTTCCGTTAATCCGTGTCTCACCCTGCAGCACATACCTTCCCCGCCATTCCTTATTCTCATCATCGTTTCCAACTCCCTTCTGACATACCTCTTCCCCCCATTTCTCTCCTCCCAGAAACGGTTACCCGCGATGCGCCCGCTATGGTGGACACGCTGCAAGGAACGACAACGTTCTTACCAAGCTTACCTCCGATTCTTTCGGTGGGATCGTGCTTCAAAACACAGAGACACTGCGCTTACTTGTTACCCGCGTTCGCCCCGGCCATCCTTCGAATAGTGTAGTCATCCTCAAAATGGAGTGGAAAATGAAAAATGAAAATAACTCAGAAATGAAAAAAGAGAAAACAGAGAAAAAACGGGAAGGTAAACGAAAAGAAAAGAATAGAAAACAAAACAAGAGTTAAAGGGTGATACGAGAAGGATAGACAAAAAAAAAAACAAAAAGGCTACACTATACTCCCGTCGGGACTCAGAGGTCCGTTAGTCTGCTGACTATTATGCTTGCGTACCACCAAAATTTCCCAAATTCTGAATTCACGAGCATTTGTGACCCACAAAATTCATATTCAACCGCCAAAACGCCTTACCTTCACTACAGCTACCCCACTTGTTGCGGACACAGTACACGGTCCCTATTTGACCCCTATATAGCCTTGCTACTGAAAAAACAGATACTTTACAACTCCGGCGTACAGTCTGGACAGTTTTTCCCTCCAGAGACACCCGGAGAACATAGCAAACTTTGCTAAGGCTGCGAGAGAGAGACCTCTGGCGGGTACCGCCGGAGGCATGCTTCCATCATGATGACCGTGATGGGGGTCATAGTCGCTTCATCACATGTGGACATCCTTTGAGCTCGGATCATGCTGGAACCGATGCCGACCTCTTCGTGGATTTTTTGGAGAAAGATTCGTAATCCTGCATAGACTGAATCCTCAGCCGCCCTGTGTCTATCAAGGATTGCTGATTCCGGGTCCTAGGAAACACATGAATGACGATCCCGGCTGCAGACTCAACCATCACCTGTGCGCCCAGGAATTCAAATGAGTTACCACCCGAGTCTTTCCTCACCAGATTCAGACTGTCATCGTAGCATTGCTCAAACACCTCAAAAATCCTAGCCGCCCTCTCCTCGGTTTCTCCATCCTCTACCACCAAACCAATGATTACCGCCACGTCATCGATCATTCTCATCCCTTTCACCCACCTCACATCTCTTCCAAGACTACTTAGAAAATAATCCTCTGCTCGAGCACACACTAAACACGCAAGGGCAGGGCTCGAGTTCCTCCTCACAGGAATCCCGAATTCCTGCTTCATAATCTGCCCAGCGCATTTAACATAGGTATTAGCAAGCTCAAATACGACTGCCTCAATAACCAAGCGAAATTCTAGAAGGATAAACCCTTCACTCCTCCACTGGTTCTTCGCCATCATGCACATCCTCCCTCTCTGACTCACTCGCACGCCAACCATCCCCCTCTGTCGATGAAGATCAATCACCCATTTCACGGCATTGATGATGCTGTCATGAGACAGTCTCGAAAACATGTCTTTTATATCATAACTCCTGGCCAGCGCTCCATCTCCCCCTCTTGTCAGTTCCTTTTGAATCTCCCCACAACGTTTTCGCAAATCATCCGTGGAACGCAGATCGAAGTGCCTGCCATCTCCTATGCCGAACAGCATGAATCTTATCGCCCTTCCTATCCTTGAGACCGCCAACCTCGCAGGATCTCTGATGGCAGGTGAAATCGGCCTCCATCGATTTACATCCTTGTCTTTCGGTAAGACATATGCCCTACCGACCTCCCCTGCTTTTCCCCACATCGCAATGGCTTGCAAACCAGTGCGTACATACCTACCCTTCATCGTCTTGATCACGTCATCCTCCACCTCCGTCACTGGTAGGAAACTAGGATTCCAAGTAAATGCCATGTTACATGCATGCAGATATAAAACAGGACAGATGATTAGTGTGGCATCGGGGTTCCTGTCAATAGGAACAACGACAAATTTCTGAATGTTGTCAGACCACTTCCTAACTTTTGAAGTGGTCATGGCCCTAGCCTCAATCCTCCCGGATTGCCTGATGCATGCGCTAATCTTCCTTAGATCTATAGGTACATATATGCCTTTACTCCATGGCTTGGTTGCTTCCTTGATGCATCTTGCCAACGCATCAGTAGTCATAGCCTCCCGACACGTGACGTTCTTCGAGTTCTTCACAAAACTTGGTGCCTCGGGCACATTGTCCAATCTCAGTTTCACATGGCCTTGGGATCTAGTCCAAGTACTTCCCTCACATGTGCATACAACCTTATTCGCCTCCGCAAACAACCGATGATTGTGTATGATCTGTCCCACCGTTAGATGCTTCTTAAAAAGCACCCTTGTCCTGTGAGCTACGTACGCACGCAAATGTGGATCCGTAATTAAGCGGCCTACCATATCTACTATCATCTCTTGAATCGCAGGGGTGCTCACGGACGAGGAGTACGGAATCCTTACGATCGGCCTCCTTCGAATCTCAATCCCAAATACCGACCGGATTACCTTCGTGATCTTCGTCTTCAGCTGATACCTCGAAGTCTTCCTTCCGAATGTAGCTGCAGTCTTATACAGAGCCAAAAGCTCCTGGGCTTTCTTCTTATACAATGTCCTGATCCTCCATGGTTGCCTCAGTAGATCCCGTAGAACGTACTTTCGGTGCTCCACTTCTGACGACGTAATCTTAATCCTGCTCACAAAAAAACTTCCCCCGTTCTCAAGCTCTCTTCTACATTCCTTCAGACACTTGTTTCGTCCACGGACTATGATGATACTCTCCCCAACTTTGCCCTTCACCACCTTCCACCTATCCACCCATATCTCTCCTCCTGATGAAACAATGCACAGTGGTAAGGGTGCTCCCTGCACACTCTTCAACCGATCAATGATGGACACCATCCCGTCAAAATTAATAATCTTCTCTGGTTTAACTAGCGCAGCTCTTTTTCCTCTCTCCCTCTTCCCTTTCCTCTGTCTCCCCTTCCTGCCCTGGTCCGACCGACACTGTGTATTCAGAGCTGGCGAGAAGCGCTTAATCAGTGACCTCTCTACTACCAAAGGGTCGCCCATGCCAGTGACTAGTGGTAATAACAGGTACTTCTCCCACCCAAAAACCCTCAGCCAGGCATGCAACTTAGGAGCATTACCAATCTTCCCAGATACTTCAAAATTGACGTGCTCATTCCAGCGAACAATAAATTTCCTCATGGTGCATCCTACGTAGAAATGCCTGCACCACGGGCTCACCAGCACATACACACCATTTTCTTTGGTGGACAGACCTCCCGCCTCGCCATCGATCAACTTCACCCACTTCTTTGCCCAAGAGCAGCACCCGCTAATTACTAACAGAAGGAATACTCTCAGGATCTTATCTTTCGTACTCACGTCTAACAACGCCCTACCTTGGTTCGTCCTTCTCCTTCTCCTTTCATCCATCATATACTCCCTAAGAGTTTCAAAGCGATCCATGATCTCCCCTTACCTTTCAGATATGTGGGCGTTGTCGCTGCACTCACCATATGCCAGTCTTGTCCTGCATCTCACCAGCTCATTCACCGCCTGGTCCTTCTTAGTTCATGCCATTCCTTCTTCATTACAGATTTTGCGTAGCTAAGGAGCCTTCTTCGCCGATAGTTTCTGGTGTAGCTCTAGCGCAAAATCCAATACTTCCCCATTAGTTGCCCCGCGGTCGTCTCGCATCCTCCGCGTGGGAGGTGTATGAACATCTTCATGGAGATCATCCACTACGATAGGAGAGGTCCTAGTAGATTTAATCCTGACATTTGATACACGACCCTCCCCGTTCACCCTCCTCTTTCCCTTTCTCTTTTCAATGGCATCGATCAGCCTCCCGGCTTCCTCTCTCACCTCTTCGCCTTCATCCTCCGACTCATCTAAATAGCTATGAATTTCTCTCAACATCCTGGCCTTGGTCGTAGGAGATTTCTTCTTCACCAAAGGTGGAACGCTAGTGTACGAAGGTTTACCGTGCTGACTCATCAATCGTAGAAGCTTGGCCTCCAATTTAGCTTTTCTCGCCTCGGCTTCTCGTAGTCTATCTGCTTCCCTCCTCTCTTCCTCTTCCCTCCTTCTCTCCTCCTCCTTTGCTCTTTTCTCTTCTTCGGACCTCTGCTTCTGCATCTTCTTCCGGAAGTAAATCTTCATTTCGTTCGTCTCATCATCGACCGCCGCTGGAACTGTTGGAACTATCAGAAGCTGGTACTGCTGGGGAGGTCGGCCGTTGCCGGCCGCCCAGCAATTCCTCGCATAGTGACCCATTTTGCCACATAAGTAGCACGATACGCCACCCGGCTGGCTACCATTCTATACCACAGGTGGTGCTTGTATCCCATACCCATTCATAGGCGCGGCTCCCGGATGCAAGTTCGCCATACTTCACCTTCCTCTTCGTTGTAACCTCTGTTCCAGCCTCCTTCTCCTGTACCGCTGATGCCTAACTAAACACCCAATACTGTGTATGCGCCCTAATACAGATTCGAGTTCACCAATCACTTCTTCCCTCGTACCATCATCCCTAAACTGCAGTGCTACGAAAATCAAAGGCGTCAGATTCTCTTCAATAATCCTCTGTACTTCTACCCACTGCCTCTCTTGTTCTAAATCCTTAAAATTCGTACTCGACATCCCTCCCTTAGCCCGCTAAATTTAACAGACACGTACAACTCAAATTGCCACTCGGTAGTTCCTGTCCTCCGACTACACCCTCGAACTATCGCAAGTACGCAAAGGATATTGATCACCACGCACCCAGCTCTCACCGGCTTGCTCCCGAAAAATCTTACCATTCCAACGCTCTCAAAACTCCCTAGGGACGATCACGCCGTAAACGTAACGGAGCCAGAATCCTCGAACCCTCGAGTAACGACTTCACGAAGTCCCGACACTCCTCCGGAGATGCATACAGCGAACTCTCGTTTATCACTCGCAATCTTCGAAATGATCACCTCGGGTCACCATCGTAGCCACAGTGCAGATGTCCGAACACGCCGGTTACCACGCTAGACTGAGATCCAAGCACAGAGGAACACAAAAAAAACATAAACACATGGACGCAAGAAGAAGACACAATGTCTCACACGAAAAAGAGTGTTGTACTCAGTTCTTAAAATTTGCATGAAGCAAGGTACGCGTCGGGGCGACGCATTTCCCTGCCGGCATAATCGGCAAGCTCCTCAGGGGGCATTAGTACTCATCCCAAAAACTCGTGTGCGATGATGTGCGTCCTTCCCTTTCTTTTATACTGTCGCAAAAGTGCTTGTACGTGTCTTCATACTACTCCCTAGCCTACTCCTACCTTCGGACGGTCTATACTCCCAATCCCTTCCCCAATCTCTCCCCACGAACTCCAATCCCATCTCTTCGCGCCTATCGGTCTGTACCTTCTCGTTCCGTTGATCCGTGTCTCACCCTGCAGCACATACCTTCCCCGCCATTCCTTATTCTCATCATCGTTTCCAACTACCTTCTGACATACCTCTTCCCCCATCTCTCTCCTCCCAGAAACGATTACCCGTGATGCGCCCGCTATGGCGGACACGCTGCAAGGAACCACAACGTTCTTACTAAGCTTACTTCCGATTCTTTCGGCGGGATCGTGCTTCAAAACACAGAGACACTGCGCTTACTTGTTACCCGCATTCGCCCCAACCATCCTTCGAATAGTGTAGTCATCCTCAAAATGGAGCGGAAAATGAAAAATGAAAATAACTCAGAAATGAATAAAGAGGAAACAGAGGAAAAACAAGAAGGAAACCGAAAAGAGAAGAAAAGAAAACAAAACGGGAGTTAAAGGGTGATACGAGAGGGATAGACAAAAAAAAAAAAAAAAAAATTGGCTACACTATACTCCCGTCAGGAGTCAGAGGTCCGTTCGTCTGCTAACTACTATGCTTGCATACCACCAAAATTTCCCAAATTCTGAATTCACGAGCATTTGTGACCCACAAAATTCATATTCAACCGCCAAAACGCCTTACCTCTACCCCACTTGTTGCGGACACTATACACGGTCCCTATTTGAACCCTATATAGCCTTGCTACTGAAAAAACATATACTTTACAACTCCGGGGTACAGTCTGGAGAGTTTTTCCCTCCAGAGATACCTGGAGAACATAGCAAACTTTGCTAAGGCTGCGAGAGAGAGAGAGAGAGAGAGAGGGAGAGAGAGAGAGAGAGAGAGACAAAGACAGAGACAGAGAGAGAGACAGA